CCTGTTCCTTAGAAATAAAAAGGAAAATATAAAAGGATTTGGATTATAGGCACTATGATTAAAATTTAAAGAAAGAAACATTGTTTTCCCACTTTTTCCCACTCCAAATGCGAACTCGGGGAGGAAAGCAGGAGGTGGGGAATTTAAACAGCAAAATGAGAATACACAGAGAGCAAACCAAGAGGAGAGAGAACAAGAACGAGGGGAAAACAAAGCAAGAGGCAAAAAGAAGAGAGATGAAACAGGAAAGAGTGAGGGAGAGCGGGGGGAAAAAATCAGAAGTGGAAATAAGCAATCAAAAGAAATAACAAAAGGAAAGGAGCAAACAAAGGAAAACACAGGGAGAACAAAGGGATGAGAGGGGGCAGAGCGGCAGCAAACTCAGAGAGAGAACAAAGGGGGGATGTAAGGCAGCCCCAGACACAAAAACTGAGACGAGGCAGCACTAAAGACAAAGGGAAAGTGGGACAAAAATAGCACGAAAGCGGGAAACGTGAAGGGAGGGAAGGTCGTGGTGAGCTGGCACCAGAGCCGAGGGGCAGAGCTGGGCGTGGGCACGGACCAGGAGGGTGATGCTGTGCCAGCCACTGCCCTGTGGGACCACCGGGGGACAGCGCAGGGTGGGCAGGGGGAGCAGGGGGTGGCTGGAAGGGTCGGGGCTGAGCCGTGTCCTGGTGCTGGAGAGGAGCCAGCGGTGCCCGGAGACCCCTCCGAAGGTGGAACAGCTCCTCAGTTCTCCCGGTTGTTCCCGGAAAGGGCGGGAAGGAGCCCTCCTTTTCCCCGCTCATCCCTCCCTCTCTCCCCAGCCAGAGCTCTCCTGTCCTCGCTCTCCTCCCAGAGCCGGGGGGGTCCCGGCTGGGGGCAGGACACGGTTCAATTTGGGGTCCAGCTGGCTCCAAACCTGCTGTGCTGCCAGAGCCAAGGCCAGGGGGGATGCTGGTGGCAACTCTGGGGTGACAGAGCTAAGAAAGGGTAAAAAATACTGCCCAGCTGCTGAGAGAGAGAGAGGAGAGAGGAAACCCGGGAGAAACAGCCCTGCAGGGATGAGGTCGGGGCAGGAGCAGGGCAGGAGGTGCCCCGGGTGCCAGGACAGCCCGTGGGGTCCGTGGGGTAGCAGAGACCCCCCTGCAGCCCCTGGAGGAGGCTGAAGCAGGTGGAGATGCCCTGGAGGAAGGTGCAGCCCATGGAGAGCCCAGGCTGGAGCAGGTTTTCTTTCAGGAATTGTGGCCCAGGGAGGATCCACAACTGGTGCAGTTCAAGAAGGACTTTATGCCGTGGGAGGGACCCCACGATGGCACAGGGGGAACGTGTGAGGAAGGACCAACAGGCAAAGTGTGATGGACCAACTGCAGCCCCCATCCCCACCCACCTGCACCTCCTGGGGAGTGGGGAGGGGGTGGAAGAGTTGGGAATGACACAGGGAAGCTGAGCCTGGAAAGCAGGGTCGTTAGGAAAAAGGTGGGGTTAGTTTGTTTCTCACCACCCACCCCGTTTTTAATTGCAACAAATGAGATTATTTTCCCCCAAATCAAGACTGGTTTGCCCATGATGGTACCTGGGGAGTGACCTCCCTGCCCTTCTCCCTGACCAGCTTTTCCAGCTGATTTTCTCCCCCATGCTATGTTGTGGAAGAAGGGGGGGTGAGGGCAGCTGAGTGGGCATCCAGCAACCTACCACACCTCTCCCAGCTCAGCGGCTCTGCAGGAAGCTCCTGCTGTGCCAGAGATCCCTGTGGCAGCTCTGCTCCATCCCTGTGGCAGCTCTGCTCCATCCCTGCCATGCACAGCTCCATCACCGGGCCACTTATCCCGGGATGAGGCTCTGAGCACATTTTCCATGCAGGAAACAACCCAGGCTCCTTGGGAGGCTCAAAGGATCCTGGTGGTGACTGTTCCACCCTCAGGATGCCAGTTATTGCCCCCAGTTTGGTGCTGGAGCCAGTTCTGCAGCTCAGCACAGCTCAACTTGTCCCCACTCCACTGCTATTCCCTCCTGGCTGTGATTGCTGAGGAGCACAGTAAGGAATTAGTCCCTGCCTGAGCTCTTGAAACTGTGAAACACTTGCCTATAACAGTAAAACTTGGAATTACAATAGCCAGGAAAGACATTTGGGGAGCTATTACCCATCAGGTCTCAGAGTCACCAGATGTGACTGAAATAAGGAACTCCTTCCCTGGAAAGCTCCCGGGGTTGTAGGATCTCTCTCTCTGTGTTTTCCCCCTTCTGTTGGAGGAAAAACACTTGACTCAGAGGCTCAGGGTGGCTGTTCCAGGGAGTGATTCCTGCATGGCTTCCAAATAAACATTTGGCAGTTTAGGAGCCCCTGGAGCCAGTGCCCAGGTTATTATTTTCCCTGCCTTGTGCAGGATCTCAGCTCCAAGTGGGATCCAAAGCACCTGGGCCAAATTCTCAGCTGGAGCTTGAATGAATAACCCAAACCAGCTGTTGGGAAGGAACTGAGCCTTTTTTAATTTGCTGCCATAAATTCCTACATGGGCAGGTGTTTACCACAGTCACCCCCATGGGATGGGACACTGAACCCACTTGCTCCTGACAGGATATCCTGGAGAACTGGAGAATGCTGAGCTGGGCTCTGAAGCTCGTCACTCTGCTCTGGTATTTTATCTGACTGTTCCTAGAAGGAACAGCTCCTCACTCCCACCAGTCCTGACTAAAATCCCAGTCCCACCAGTCTTGACTTCACTGGACACCTGAAGGAGCCAAGTAGCTTCCCTGGCTCCAGAGGGTTGTGTGGGTCCTGTTTGTAGGAATCTTTAAAGCCATAACTAATTTGTGGATTTTTTCATTTATAAGAACAGAGATTCCAGGAACCACTTCCCCAACACATAGGACCAGCCCCCCAACAAAAAAAAGAGCTCAACCCCTCACCTTTACTGGGCTGATGGGGCTGGGAGGGTTCATTTATGTCCCTAAAGCTGGCACAAAGCTTTTCTGATGTTTAAAGGACTCTTTTGGTTTGTCAGCGACAGGGAATGACTCTTCATCCTTCCTGCCCACGTCCTTGGAAATCCAGCTGAGATTCCTAATGGCCACACACGCTTTTCCCAGTCCCCAGCCCAACAAAGGATGGCTTCTCATCTGCCAAGAGGAGCTGCAGAGGTTTCTGATGCCTCATTTCCCCCTGCCCAGTGGAGTGCTCAGTCTGTGCCCAGCAGCAGACGAGTGCACAGATTGCTCCGTGCCCCAAGCAGAGGCTTTTCTGCTGGGAGTCCACCAGTGAAACCTCTGACTTTGAAATGAGAGTTTAACTTCATTTGAGGGCTTAGAGGAAACTTTCTGGCAGTTCTACTCCCTGCCCAGGGCAGCACAAAGGGCAGCAGCAGGGGAAGAGCTCACTGTGGACTCCAGAGGGTGGTCCCTGACTCAGAGCCCTGAGGGACACCAGGGACAAGTGGTGTCTCCCAGGGGTCTGGTTTGGGATCAGTGTTATTTATATCTTCATTAATGACACAGGTGAAGGGATCAAGGGCCCCCTCAGCAGGTTTGCAGGGTGAGGGTGCAGTGACACACCTGGAGGATGGGACCATCCCTCTGCACAAGCTCCAGAAGTGGCCCCTGGGAATCTCCTGAGGTTTAACAAGGCCATGTGCTGCTGCTGCACCTGGATCAGGGCAATCCCAGGATCAACCCAGGCTGGGGATGAGCAGATGGAGCAGCCCTGGGAGAAGGACCTGGGGGAGAGGCTGCACATGACCCAACCCTGTGCCCTGGGCTGATCCCCCAGTGTGGGCAGAGGGCAGGGGGGGATTCTGCCCCTCTGCCCCCTCAGCTGAGACCCCCCTGCAGAGCTGCTCCAGCCCTGGGGAACAGCACAGGGAGGACATGGAGCTGCTGGAGAGAGTCCAGAGGAGGCATCAGAGGGATGGAGCAGCTCTGCTGGGAGGGAAGGCTGGGAGAGCTGGGATTGTTCAGCCTGGAGAAGCTTCAGGGAGACCTAATTGTGGCCTTGCAGGACCTGAAGAGGCTACAAGAGAGCTGGAAGGAGATCATTTACAAGGGCCTGGAGTGACAGGACAGGAGAGAATGGCTTCACAATGCCAGAGGGAAGGGTTAGATGGGATATTGGGAAGGAATTCTTGGCTGTGAGGGTGGGGAGGCCCTGGCACAGGTTGCCCAGAGAAGCTGTGGCTGCCCCATCCCTGGAAGTGTCCAAGGCCAGGTTGGACGAGGCTTGGAGCAACCTGGTCTAATGGAAGGTGTCCCTGCCTGTGGCAGGGGGTGGGACAGGATGGTCTTTAATGTCCCCTCCAACCCAAAGCATTCCATGATTCTCTGCTGTGGAGCAGCACTGAAGTGTTTCCTGACATGGACCTTGGCCCTGAGGAAGCCCCGAGTGTGTCAAATGCTCCCCACAAGGGCACAAATTTCCATCTTGGGTGATCCTGTGGCTGCAGATCCCACCATGGGATGTCCCACCCCCTGCCCAGCCAGGCCCAGGCTGGAGGTGACACTTCCCTGGGGTGATGGGCACATTTGCTGTGCCCCCAGCTCGGGGCAAGAGCTGCTGCTGCCACCCGAGGAGCTGCTGTGGTGCCTTTGTCACACGGGGCACCCACAGAGACACCTCCCTCCTGCCCATCCCTCACCCTCCTTTCAGGGCACCACCTGGTTTTTAGGAGAACACGGATGTGAGGAAGTGGGTTGGAGTGCCCTGAGCTCCAGGTAACGTTTAGGAACAATCAGGAACACCCAGCCTGGGTTCAGGAAGACGTTTGCAGGCGCTGCTTTATTTACCACGTCTCTTCTCAGTTCTGGGATGTAACTGTGTTATCTGGTGAGTGACAGCAGTGGGATGGATGGGATGGGAGTTAATCTGTGTCCACCATCTCTCTTGATTTCTCCTTCATTTCCATTTCTTTTAAAAGTGGAAGTTTCATTAAAAAAGCAGCACTTTTCTATTAAATAAGTAGCAGAGAAGAATGACTGCCTCTGTATCTCATCAGCAGTGAATCTTTTTAAAACCACTCAGGAGACAAGGCTCAAATCATATATTTAATAAGAATCACTTGGATATCACTTCTTAAAGCAATTAACATATTATTAGAGATAAGCCAAGATGCAACAATTAGACCCAGATTTCTAAGACAGATTCCTACGGTTTCGGAGGGCGCAGACCTCGGGCCGTGGCCTCAGCAATCACCTCTGCATGTCACAAACCAGTGTCAGAATTTCACTTGCACAGACACAGCAGATTAAATTCTCACTTTCATTCCTCATTTTGCTCGTGCTGATTTTCCTGATTCTTCTCAGTCATTGAAAGCTGCAATTACAGCAGCAACAAGGGGCAAATACCTCAGCGGGGGCTCTGAGTGATCATTTCCAGCTTCCCCTTCCTTGTGGAGAGTCAGGGGGTTGTTTTCCACATGGAGCATGAAGGAAAGGCATCTGTGAACCTTAATAAAGGATCAAAGAGCTCATCACCAGCAGGATCCTCGTCTTGTGCCCCCTGAGCGCAGGGATGGCACCGATGGCGCTGGGAGATGCTCTGCTGGGGGCTGCTGGACACAGGGACATCCCAGAGGGGCTGTGGTGACAATCCAGGGAGCTAAACACAGCCAGTCCCTCCTGCCTGGCAGCTGGAGCAGCTCCTGCCAGGGATGGGAGCCGAGGAGAAGCCACACATTCAGTGGTGCTGCCGGTAGCAGCGGGGCAGACGGAGGGCTGGGGGGTGGCACCTCATCCCACCACGATTGAATGTGACAAAGCCCATCTGCTGGTGCCCTGGGCACTGGCAGGACTCGAGCTGGACTGGGAACTAGGAATTCTACAACATTTTTGGTTGTTTATCCTGAAACATGCAGGCTTTTCCCTCCTCTGACCCACACGTGGCTGCCGCTGGTGACTGACAGCAGACTGATTGCTCAATTAAAGGGCTTTTTAGCAGTTTGACCAACCCCCCGGACCTGCCTGGAGTCCACTTCAGCAGCAAATTGCTTTTCTTAGAAGGCAGCAACAAACGGAAGGGGGAAAACATATCATGCATCTAAAGATTTGTGATCATATCGGGGTTGGTAAGGGCTGAGATTTATTACACGAGAGATGATGCAACAGCGAAGAAGGAGAGCAGAATTCTACATTGACTCCCTACTTTGCAGTTCAGGACAACTAAGAGGTTTTACTTCATTAAGGAAGGCAAGGGAAAAAAATCAGGGACAACCCTAATGCTTGAGGGAGTCCTGTAAAGCCTAAATGAACAATCAGTCCTACGTTGCTGTAGAAGGAACAATGAAATATATCTGCTTCTGTTCAATAAATTACTAAAACATCAGTTATAAACCTGCTGCATGGCATTGAAAATTAAACTCGTTAAACATCCAGGTAGCTTCATCCTGATGCAAATGGAAGACAGGCATGAGTGCTCTGCAGCAAACAACTCTGTGCACATCCCATCTTTGGGAGCCATATTTACACATACATCTCATATATTAATATATTTTAGTGCACCCTAGCCAGAGGGCAACCAGAAAGAGTATTATTCTGTGAGAAGGACAGGAGAAGGGCTGGCTTCTCCTCTCTGCTGGGCAAGGCCTGTGTCCATCCATGGGCAGCAATTGTGCAGGGACCATATTTCCCTTTTCCAGGTGAGCCAGACACCAGGGCCCCAAACAGTGGTCTCCTGTGACAGTTGGGTGGGTTTGGGAGCCAAGAGTTGGCAGCCAAAATTATTGTGAGACCAGTCCACCACATTAACAAGCCTGAAGTGACTTGCAGGTCAAGAATTTCAGCCAAAGTGCCATTTTTTGGTCTCTTGCCTTCCCTCTCTGCTCCTTCCAGAGCTTGGGAAGGTCTGAAGGGACAAGGACAGTCTGGGGAGGGCCTTGACCATGGTGACATACGGAGCAGGCAGGACAGGGAAGAGGACACCACTGCAGAGTTAGGGAGACCACCATTCCTGATGCCCCCAAAGGGTAGGCAGACATCCCACATCGTTCCCAAGGGGAATTTGGGGTCTCCATGGGAGGGACTGGTGCTGCTCAGCACATGGGTGAGGGAGGGGGGAAATGGGAGATCAGTGGGTTTATTCAGTGGCATTTTGTTTGAGGATATCTGAGGTTAAGAGCAGGGGGGATGAAGGGTGTGTTTTGTTCCTCCAGCACTCAGGAAAGGGGCTGCTGGATGCAGGGGCAAGGAAGGGAAAAGAAAGCAAGGACCCAGCAAGACAGCACGTCCTTCACCCTCCTCTCCTTTGGGGCCTGGTGACATTTTCCTCTCACAAGCACCCAAATTTTCACCCTTGCCAGGCAGGTGTATCTAGGGTGGATGACCCTGAACCTACCCAGCCCTTTGGCAGGGCTTGGAGTTGTCTGGGAAAGCAACAATTCCCTGTCAGCACGACGCTCCTGGGGCTGCAGGAGCTCATTCCAGTCGTCCCAGCAGCACCTCCCCGAGAGCTCTGCAGAAGGAACCAGCAGTTCTGCCCCAGTTTCACACAGCTGGGATCAGCTGGGGGAGATTTCAACACAACAAAAGAAAGAAAGCGATGCCCATTTCCCCCATGTCCTCTCCTGATAATATGAATAAAGCTCTGTTTTGATATTCCATCCTTTCCAAAGGAGTCCCGTCGGATCAGTCCAGGTCAGCTGTGGTTGGAGTCACACTCCCCTGACTCTTTCAGCCTTTACTTGATGAAGTTTTTAATTGTCCACCTTTGTCCTGTGCAGCTGCGAAGGATCAGATCGATTCCAGCCATTCCCTTGTTCTCCACTTCCAGGCACCGTCCTGTGCCCTTGTTCAGGATGGCACCATTCTGAAATGAAAGGAATAAATTAAAATTAAAGGATAGTGGGAAAGCATTAAAAAAATTAAGACTATAGGTTGCCTGTGAAGCAAATCAGGGTGGCACCCAGGGGTGCAGACACGTCCTTGGGCTTCAGCTGGGTGGAAATGCAATTCCAATTATAAAATAATTCCTAAAATAAATAATGGGAGTGGAATGAGCATCTATTAACACTGACAGCACCCAAGGAACATCTGGAATCTTTTAATTCCCTGTGTTGGGAAGGTGGGACACTTGTGTACAATGTAGATTATTTACACTCTGCCTTGGCACAAGAATACTGTGTTTTCATGGAGATTACCCACAAGGAATCTGGGAGTCATTGGCAGGGCAGGCCACATCCACCAGATGTAACCAGATCCACCTTTATGGCATCAGAAAGGAAAACTTCTGTTGGAAATGGACCCGAAATCCTGCCCCTGATCCCTCTTCACCTTTTCCCTCTGCCTTTGGACCCGGCACCTGCTGTTCCATGGGATCAGTTGTCCCACACCATCTCGTGTCAGACGTGGTGCCCCAGCCCAGGGTTTGAGAAGGAGACTTGGAACACACCTGGATGAAACTCCAGCGCTTGTGGAGGCTGCTCTTGACCTTCTCACAGTCCAGGAGCTGCGGGAAGCGGCTCTTCCCGTTATCCACCAGGCACCGGGTGTCTGGGAGCAGGGTCGTGGTGCCCAGGGCACCCAGGTGAAGGAACCCCTCCTTCGTGTAACGTGCCAGCTGTGGGCAGGGGAGGACAGAAAGGACCATCAGCACTGTGGGAGCGTCACTAAAGTGATACAGGAAAGGAAAGAACTGTGGGGACGGGGCACAGGGAAAGTGGAACTGAAAAGAGGGGAAAAAAACAACTTTATCCAGCCTTTTTAGCCTTGATTTCTTTGTTTGTTTGTTTGTTTCAGGTGAAAAAAAAAAATGGTGGGGAGATGAGACACAGGGAAGGGGCGTGAATAACTCTGAGCCTTAAATCCATCGGGATTGTCCCACTCTGCTCTGCCCTGGGGCAGCCTCACCTGCAACACTGGGGCAGTTTGGGGGGACACAATGTAGGGAAGGGATTGAGCCATTGGAGAGTGTCCAAAGGAGGCCACGAGGATGGGGAAGGGCCTTGATTTGAAGC